CAACAAATGCAAAGCTCTTCAGGCAAGAACATGTCTGACTTGGAAGCATAGCCAGAGGACCACAGTCTAGAGCATTGTAAACAGGGAGAGAATGGTAAGAGAGAAGTCAGAAAGGCATCCCAGGCCCCGGTTACATGAAACTGTGTGGGCCACTATCAGGATTAGAGTTTTTCCTAACAATGAAATTGGAAGGCTTAGTGTTGTTGATGATATGATGTAAATTCTAAAAAGCTGATTCCGAAACTGTAGAAAAAAAAAAAAAACTCATCTTCAAGGGTGAAGTGTCCGATCCAGATATTCCCAGGGGAAGAACAATAATCCAAAAATTTCTACATTTTACTTCATGTTTTTCTTGACAGTTATCTTTAGAACATGATGAACATGCCTTAAAATCTGTACTAACACACTCTGTATGGGCCAAGATTCTGATGGACTTATATTTGTGCACACTATAGTTCTTAAATCAAGAGAAAGAATTTTGGATGCCCAAAGTATACAAAAATACATTTCTACCACACTCCTCTATCTCTCTCTCACACATCCCAATCCACCATACCCTGCACATCTTACTTAACTAGAACTTCTTAATGTACATATAAATGTCAAGCAACAATAGTCAAAGGAAAAAATAGGGTAGAGTTAAAGAGGTAAGAATCATAATCCCTATTCTCAATGAGTCTTCATCATAATGACAAAATAAATCACACATATACATACACACATTTATGTGTGTTTGGGTAGTTTAGCTTATTTCTTATATTTTACATAGTCATCTCATGTTTGACCTTAAATCTATATACACTGTCCATATAAGTATTTTTATTTTTTAAGATTTTTATTTATTTATTTGAGAGGTAGAGTTATAGATAGAGAGAGGGAGAAACAGAGAGAAAGATCTTCCATCTGCTGATTCATTCCCCTAATGGCCGTGATAGCCACAGCTGAACCCATCTGAAACCAGGAGCCAGGGGATTCTTCCAGATCTCCCATGCAGGTGCAGGAATCCAAGCACTTGGATCATCCTCCACTGCTTTCCAAGACCGTAGCAGAGAGCTGGAGCAGAAGAGGAGCATTAGGGACATGAATGGGTACCCATACAGGATGCTAGCCCCGCAGCTGGGGTTTAGTCTACTCCACAGTACTGGCTCCCTGTCCATATAAGTGTTGTATAATTTTATACAATAGAAGACCATACATGGGTCTGGCGCTGCAGTGCCAGCATCCCATATGGGCACCGGTTCGAGTCTTGGCTGCTCCACTTCCAATTCAGCTCTCTGCTATGGCCTGAAAAAGCAGTAGAAGATGGCCCACATCCTTGCACCTCTGCACCCACATGGGAGACCTTGAAGAAGCTTCTGGCTCCCAGCTTCCTATCGACGCAGCTCTGGCCATTGCGGCCAATTGGAGAGTGAACCAGCAGATGGAAGACTCTATCTCTCTCTCTGCCTCTCCTCTCTCTCTACATCAAATAAATAAATAAATCTTAAAAAAAAAAAAAAAAAGACAAAGAAGACCATACATAAACCTTGCTGTTCTCTATTCAAAAAATTTCATATGTGGTAGTTTTGATTATTTACATTCCACCTCAGAAGTATAGTTTGAGAATAACTTTACAGCAATGCAAGAAAGTAATTAAAAATTTTTTTTTCTTCAAAGTGTTATTCAAGGGTCATTCCCATGTATACCCTTCAACTTGGGGTTGAAACCAATGATAGTTATGAAATATACATATTCAAGTACATTTTTGTTTCTTTGATCCTTTCTTATCATAGTGAGGCATTTAAATTCTTTTTTATTTATTTTTTATTTTTTGACAGGCAGAGTGGACAGTGAGAGAGAGAGACAGAGAGAAAGGTCTTCCTTTGCCGTTGGTTCACCCTCCAATGGCCGCCGCGGCCAGCGAGCTGCGGCCGGCGCACTATGCTGCTCCGAAGGCAGGAGCCAGGTGCTTCTTCTGGTCTCCCATGTGGGTGCAGGGCCCAAGCACTTGGGCCATCCTCCACTGCACTCCCTGGCCACAGCAGAGAGCTGGCCTGGAAGAGGAGAACCGGGACAGAATCCGGCGCCCCGACCGGGACTAGAACCCTGTGTGCCGGCGCCGCAGGTGGAGGATTAGCCTAGTGATCCGTGGCGCCGGCCGAGGCATTTAAATTCTATACTGTTAAGGTTCCTACCATGCCAGAACAGAGGACTAGTGAGTGCTTCTGCTAAGACCACTAGTCCCTGTGGTTCTTCTGATGCTCCCCACCCCCCCCACCAAAGAAAGGTAAAGATGCTACTACATCCAGGGAAAGGGCAATGTCTGGCAGAGTGTTCTAAATCAGACTTTCATGGTAAAATGTCCATTAATAATTAATTTTCTGCTTCCTTTAGGATAGGACAGGTTAAGCAGTTGGTCACATTCAATAAATAAGAAATTACTTGCAGTAATTTCTGCAACATTATAATCATCTTTCTAATTATGAAACCTACTTTTAAAGTCTTTGATCTGCATTATACTGGAAAGACATGGAAAATGGAAACAGAAGATGATTATAAATTCAACTTTGCCATCTGCTAATAGTTGGGCCTTGGCAAGTCACTTAGCCATAACATCTCCATGTACGGTCCGTGGTGAGGGGTGTAGAAATCCACACCCCACTGCATTGTTAGGTACTCTCAATAGGACAACCCGTGAAGTTCAGGAATGCGGGAAGACTCAAGGAACACCTGAGGAATTCAAACGCTAAATGACACATTGTAATATCATAGTTCCAGCAGTGGAATTTCAGAGTCTTGCCCTGAACTAAAACAAATGTGATTTTGTGAAATGGGAAATATGTTCTATACTCTTTCTGCATGTTATTAAGAATGAAAATATCCCACAGTTACTCAACTACATCATTAAAGGGATTTTATTTTCTTCAGTAAATACATTAAAAAAGGTTTTTTCGATTAACAATGACCTTTTTGACTTCTGCTGGTTTGGATTCTGTAGACGGTGAGGCTGACTGCAAATGAGACTGCAGTGTACCTTGTTCCTTACTTTTTCACCCACGGATTAGTTTCATCCAGTTGGCAGCAGCCTGCCCTGTTGCCTTCAGCTTGCAATTTTGTAGCAATCTCAAACACTGTGTTCAATTCCCAAAGTGTTCTGTGAAATGCTGTCAAACTATTTCTATGTTGTGTGTTTTCATTCTGTAGCTGTGCTTTGTACTCATTTAAGAAAGTCAGTCTTTAATTTGTATCAGAACGTTTTCAGGATGAAATATAGAATTCCAGACTGCAGCAAAATCACTGCCATATGACCACAGCCTTCTTAAGTTCTAACTCTTGATGTGCCTGATTTCCATTAACACAAAGTTGTGGTTTTGAATTTTGTTATAGAATTTGACATTGAATTTGGCCTGAAAAATCTGTCATCATACTTGCCATGATCAGCAGGCTCTAGTTTATCTAGCCAATTTCATCTCTCATCCTTGAAAAAGATGTATTTGTTTATTTATTTGAAAGAATTACACAGAGAAAGAAGGAGAGGCAGAGAGAGAGAAAGGTCTTCCATCCGCTGGTTCACTCCCCAATTAGCCCCAATGGCCGGAGCTGAACTGATCCAAAACCAGGACCCAGAAGCTTCTTCTGGGTCTCTCACGTGGGTGCAGGGGCCCAAGGACTTGGGCCATCTTGTGCTTTTCCAAGCCATAGCAGACAGCTGGATAGGAAGTGGAGCAGCCAGGATGCGATTCGGCACCCATATGGGATGCCAGCACTGAGGCAGCAGCTTTGCCTGCTACACCACAGCACTGGCGCCTCTCATCCTTTCTACCCTACTTCTCATGCTCCTTTGTACACTTTGGAAATACCTGCCTCTCTCACCTTTCCTGATGGCGCCCACATACAGCACTTCTGACAAAAATACCTTGTCATCAACTCGTCACCTGCTTATCTCAGGCACTTCCTACTCTAGAAAACCTTTGTCCACACTCAACACGCTTTGGAGGTCAAGTAACCTTCTTTACGCTCATGTTACCTTATACATCATTTAATCAAAATACTCCTTTCTGTATGGTAATAATTGGTTTGCTCAACTGTCTTCATCACTAGACCAAAACTTTTAGAGAGCAAGGACAATAATTTTTAATCAATAAATAGGTGCCTTATGAATATATGTTGGATAGATGAATACTTCCTGGAAAACCTATTGGTCAGTTTATTGAAAAGACAGCAAAAAATACTACTAGAAGTATTAAATTAGTTTTGCCACATTTAATTACAACAGCAATCAATTAACACAGTATATGGTTTTATCAGCAAAATGTAACTTATAACTTCAGTTTCAAGCTTACCATTATGCAAATATTTTTAAGATCAATATATGCATGGTTCTATTCTATGCTTTCTGTATCTGGTGCTTCACATTCAGAATTGGATTGAGTTGAACCAGCCTAACCATAGATCTTTTCAAATAAAAACATGTTCTAATATAGAAAACTGTTACTTGAACTAATTCAATTTTATATAGATTAGTTGTTATCTAAACTGAATTTAAAGGATTTTGACTGGCTTTGAATTTAAGTACATGCACACTTTTTTTAAAGAACAATATTATTTAACAAATACAAATTTCATAGGTACAGCTTTAGGAATATAGTGGTTCTTCCCCCCCACATCTGCCCTCCCACCCCCACTCCCGTCCCACCTCCTACTCACTCTCCCATTCCATTCTTCATTAAGATTTGTTTTTAGTTAATTTTATATACAGAAGACCAACTCTATACCAAGCAAAGATTTCAAAAATTTGCACATGCACACTTTTTATAAACAGAACTATATGCAAGTTTTGTTTCACATTTGCATTGGGAATGAAAGATGTATCAGTATGTTTTGTCTCCTGAGTTTATGTCTGATGTTTGCATTTGATTCTGTACTATTATTCAGCATATGGGGTAGCACTCAGAACAAAGATAATGTTGTATCTCATTTTCATTCTGATTAATAGGTATTCTGTCTCTGGTAATTTGTAGGTGTTATTTGGAAGATGGAGCTTCAAAGGGTGCCTGGCTGAACCGGTCAAGTATTATTTTTGCGGGAGGTGATAAGTGGTCAGTGGATCCTCGTGTTTCAATTTCAACATTGAATAAAAGGGACTACAGCCTCCAGATACAGAATGTAGACGTGACGGATGATGGCCCGTACACGTGTTCTGTGCAGACTCAACATACGCCGAGAACAATGCAGGTGCATCTAACTGTGCAAGGTATGCATTTCCAGAACTCTATACTGTGAAGGTCTGTACTTAGAAATATTTAACATTTCCATATCAATATGACTTAGAAGCAACTAACAATGTTGAAAGATGTATTGTTATTATCTTCAGCAATTTATGTCCCTACATACCATTATGTATAAGGCCATTGCAAGCGTAGAAATCCCTTGAAAAATCAAGACAAATCTATTAATATCACAATATGATTTGTATATATGAATCATCTCATATCTTCTCTTGAATTACCACTTCAATAGCCTTTAAGAACCCATATTGATACATAAAATACTAGAACTTTTTGAAATGTGGGTGGTAACTGTTTAAAAGCTGTCCTCAGAGTCTTCCATTATACAGTCACAGAACAACTTCTGTTTACTTTCATTCAGGTCACAACAGAAAGTTGCAGCAGCATTCTAGAATTACTGTATTTAAATATAAGTAATTGGAAAAATATGTAAACATGCAAATGCTTTATACTTATTTATTTTCAGGAGATCATAAATCATGCTAGCTAAATACAATCTGCAAATGCAAACAAGATCATCATATTATTTTGTTTTACTTGTATACTTAGACATAGAGCATATATATACCTACTGCAAATACTTTTAAGAAAAATGAAATTATAATGCTAGAAGAATGAGGAATGCATATTTTTGCCACGTTGCAGCATTTTCTTTTGCTTTATAAATTAATAATTTGCTGATAGCATATAAATTTTAGACTTTGTGGAGCTTAAAATGATATTGCAGTGTTTTTAAGTAAAATTAATAAACCATCTTATAATAATGTGGTACCACTGCATGAATTTTCTATTGTGTGTGAATGTTGTGTGAACAAGTTAGTTGTAGTGTCTCTGACTTTGCCTTTCAATAAGGCAAGACTAAAAATTAATTTAGTTGCATGGCTTAAGTCTGAAAAAGATGTAAATCTACAACTTAATTGAACGTTATTTCCTTACATAAAGGTAAAGCTGAATTCAAACACAGCTTCAATTATGAGTAAATAGTTTAACTTTGTGATAAAATTAAACTTCTTAATTAAACAATTAACTTTAAGGAGGAAAGTATAAATTGAAGAATATGTCAATTAATTTTCTCAACAGTTTATCTTATTACAGATTCTTTCAGAATGGTGATGCTCATTATTTAAAAGTGGCAAATGAGAATACAATAAGGTTTTTGCAAGAGTACATCTTTAGGCCAACATAATTCAGGGACTCTAGAGGTCAGGAGTTAGTCTAATTTGGAAAACTAACATGAGAATGCAAGACAAAACCTTTGTTTCTTCCATTAGGCCTCCTTCTTGTTTAGTTATGTGCTTTTTTTTTTTTTTTTAATTTATTTGACAGGCAGAGTTAGACAGAGAGGGAGACAGAGAGACAGGTCCTCCTTCCGTTGGATCACCGCCCAAATGGCCACTACGGCCGGTGCGCTGTGCCGATCTGAAGCCAGGAGCCAGGTGCTTCCTCCTGGTCTCCCATTCGGGTGCAGGGCCCAAGCACTTGGGCCATCCTCCACTGCCTACCCGGGCCACAGGAGGGAGCTGGACTGGAAGAGGAGCAACCGGGACTAGAACCGGCGCCCATATGAGATGCCAGCGCCGCAGGCAGAGGATTAACCAAGTGAGCCACGGCACCAGCCCCTTAGTTATGTGCTCTTTTATTTGAGATTCTAACTCAAAAATTACAAATAGTTTTATTACTTGAGAAAAAATTTACTTTAATAATGTTTGAATCACTTAAGATAGACATTTTGTTTGTATGTGTTAAATATGTAGAGTTAAATAACATACATACTGATTTCAAAAAGTTTGTAGAAAATGCAGTTTAAAAAGTAATTTCCCGTGAAATTTTTGAAGACCTCATGTATTTCTGAACACTAAACATATCCTCTTTACCTTTATTCAATATTTCTTGCTCCATGCTAGGCCTATGTTTTTAAATCAGAGTCGGTATGTTTTCAAAGAAGGGGTATATAAGCCATGCTTAGGCATGTGTTTAATTCTTGTAGCATTTCTATTTAAATTTGTTTTTATAAAATTTTTATTACAGAATAGTTTTACATTTACAAAAGAAAGCCTCTGAAGTGGTATAAAGATTTTCCATGTAACCCATGCCCAGCTCCCACTTTTGTTAGCATGGTATTAGTATGATATATCTGTCACAATTTATTAAGCATATCCAGCTTTTCCATTGTCAACATTTCATGCTGCTATATTTACCACAATAAATGAAGTACACCCAGTTTCCCCTATTTTTTTAAATCAAACTTCCTCTTTCCGGCCAGCGCTACGGCTCACTAGGCTAATCCTCCACCTGCAGCACTGGCACACTGGGTTCTAGTCCCGGTTGGGGCGCCGGATTCTGTCCCGGTTGCCCCTCTTCCAGTCCAGCTCTCTGCTGTGGCCCGGGAGTGCAGTGGAGGATGGCCCAAGTGCTTGGGCCCTGCACCCCATGGGAGACCAGGAGAAGCACCTGGCTCCTGGCTTCGGATCAGCATCGTACGCTGGCCACAGTGAGCTGGCCGCAGCGGCCATTGGAGGGTGAACCAACGGTAAAGGAAGACCTTTCTCTCTGTCTCTCTCTCTCACTGACCACTCTGCCTGTCAAAAAAAAATAAATAAATAAAAAGAAAAAAAAACTTCCTCTTTCCCTCACAAAGCTGTTACTTTATTCTTTACTGTGTTCCATTCTTTTGCTGGCCACATAAGGATGGTGAACTTTTGAAATTAGCAATTAGTATACTTATTGAATATTTCTCAGTATAAAATTTTGCTTCTCTAAATCAAACAAACTAAAAGAACTTCTTGATACTATCTTGAATATATTTCAGTGGGTCAAATTAAAAGTTAATGATTTTACCATATTAATGAACATAATTACTTATTAAAAGTTGATTGACATATGGGCAGTTTTCCAATTACATTAATAAAGTTCAGGGAATACATTAATAGACTTGTCCATCAATTCAAAAACTAAATAAATGTCATAAAAAGTCAGCCCCACTTAAGCTACATTTTCTCTCAATGAACAGAATAAACTTTCAATCTTTAATTGTATATCTGGATAGTCTTGAAGCATATGCTCATTGCTTAACAATTTGTCAATCCTTTATTAACCAAGATAAAGAAATCTAGCAACTGAGGGAAGACTTTATTAATCACTGATGTCAAACAGAGATTGGCTGGTAGAAACAAAACCGATTTTCAATTGTTTCAACATTCTGCATAAGGTAGGTATTGAAATAAAATTATGTTAGAAAGAGAATGATAAAGAGGATATCTTGTCAACACAGACACTATGCATGTGGAACTCATTTGTGCTGGTGATTTTTTGAGCTAACCACAAAAATCAATGCAGTTATAAGGGAGGAACACCATTAGAGCAGGAGTTAGAAAACTTGAATTCTAATTCTGAAAGTGACCACCAAAAATAAGTAAATAACAACCCTGTCTGAACTCTAGTTTTCTCATTTAAGGGAGGTTCAGAACCAGATCTACATTCAGATCCAGAAGGTCTCTAAGGTCTATTGCCAGTCAAAGTAGAAAGAAAAAATGACTAAAATAAATAAAATATAAGTACAATAAACAAAAATAAAACAAAACAAAAAACCACTATTATTATTTTCTTTCGAATTACATGTGAAAAAGGTAGTTAATTTAAAAGTGAAAAAATTTTCGTACTTTACTTTGAACACCATGGAAACTAATTTTTACACATTACTCCTGGTAATATTTACTCCAAAGGTATATTTTCTTTCTTGTTGAATTTTTTTCCTTTCACCAGCTGAGGTAAGCAATTTATGTATTCATGGAGTTTGAAGAATGTGACAAGTTGGAGCTTGGTTTTTAGTTTCCTCCTGGCATCTGACTTATCTGGAATATTTGCAATAAATTGAGTATATGTAGTGAGCAGTGAGCATTCAGTTGTTAGCTGTTTTGAGAATAGCTTCAAGTATAGAAAGCTACCTTGCCCAAGGTCAGTTCTTGCCTGGAATAGTTGACGTGCAACGTAGAATAATTCTCATGAGCCACTTTTTGCTCTGGAGTTTCATTATGGGACAGCTGAGGTTGTGGTCCAGATTGCATTACAGGTCAACTTTTTGCTCTGTTCAATTCTATCTCCTTTCTATTTCTTCCCTAGGGAATGATTCAAAGATATTCTGTCATTAATAATCTGGACTTTAAATTTCATCTTGTTTCAGAGTCTAATTCCCAAAGATCCCAAAGTGTGACAATGTTAGACTCTTGTTTCAGGCTTAGTCATTGTTTTGAGAAAGGCTTTGTAAAATGGAAGGACAACACATTCAAAAACCATTTATTATTAACATTATGAAAGGGATTTAAAACTTTAAAAATAAGTATTCAAGGCCGGCGCCGCGGCTCACTAGGCTAATCCTCCGCCTAGCGGCGCCGGCACACCGGGTTCTAGTCCCGGTCGGGGCGCCGGATTCTGTCCCGGTTGCCCCTCTTCCAGGCCAGCCCTCTGCTGTGGCCAGGGAGTGCAGTGGAGGATGGCCCACGTGCTTGGGCCCTGCACCCCATGGGAGACCAGGAGAAGTACCTGGCTCCTGCCTTCGGATCAGTGCGGTGCACCAGCTGCAGCGCACCAGTCGTGGCGGCCATTGGAGGGTGAACCAACGGCAAAGGAAGACCTTTCTCTCTGTCTCTCTCTCTCACTGTCCACTCTGCCTGTCAAAAAAAAAAAAAAAAAAAGTATTCAATACACCAAGATAAGTAAGATAAATCGGATGACAAAAATAAATAATACAAGATTATAGTCAGAGGTGAGGTTAGATCACAAAATATCTGTCACAGTCTCTATATACTTCAATACCTTGATTAAAAAACCAGAAAAACAAAGCAAAACAAAAAACCTTGAGTTCCATTGTTTCTAACAACCAGTTCATAGAGAGAAAAGCTTATAATTGGTTATATGCTTCATGATCCATAAGGTTAAAAACTGCTTTTCTCAATGCCCTGATTTTGTTACCCAGAATGGAGAATCATTACTACCAAAAGCCACCTTAGAGAATCACTCTGATGTAAAGAAAACTTCAACAGTAACTATGTAGGACACAGAACTTATTCATAAGGTTTTCTCTTATACCACCTCTATCAATATTGTCTGAATTGCAGAGAAGGAAAAAAATTAAATATTGAAAAAATTCATCATGATACCAGTTTAGTTACAGAGAGAGAACTTTGAATATCACTATAACTTACAAATAAATTTTGGAACCTAGCCTATCTGAAGAAAACTTCCATAAATATTATTTCTCTCAAAGGATCATTCAATAGGAATTCATGTGCAAATACTTTAAAATTACCCTTCCAATGAGTATCTGGAGAGCAATTAGTCTAAGTGGCATACTATAAATCCATATTTTTTAAAGACCAGAATGTCTTAATATAATGTTAATGTTCTTTCTATGACTGTTTAAGCCTTGACAAGGTGCACATCTGAAGAGAAGGACATCATACTTCTGTTCCAGTTGGACCTTATTGCTGAAAACAGCATCACAGGACATGGGTCTGCTTTCCTCATAAAGACACAAAAGGGAAAAAGATGTAATGGCCAAAAATCAAAATACAAACAAACGAAAAAGCATGCCACAATGTCATATACATTGGAAAATTAAAATGATTGCTTTGCAACTGTGAGCAGTTCCAAAGTTTCAACAAGTAACAGTAACAAGTAACAAGTAAATGTTCCAAGAGTCATTTGTGATCTGGATGATTTCCCTAAATATTCCTTTGCAGACAAAATTAGTTCCATTCATCTGTGCTTATATATGGTAAGGGTTTTTAGAGAATTTTATATGGTATGACATTTAAAAATTAATGCATGTTTCAGTAGACATTTTCATGTTTATTTTTCATACAGTCCATTTTAGCTAGAATTCCTATAATTACATAGCAGGGTGTATCAAACCAGCTTCTAGGAAAACATTACTTCAGATCTATCTGTGAATAAATTGGCATTTTCTAGAATTTTAGTTTTGCTAACATGTTTCATGTTAACATAAGGTTAATTAAATTAATTTAGTGAAATTCTCATTTTAATATTGGCTTTTATTTCACAATCTACATTTTTTCTTCTAAATGTTTTTCCTTTGATGGTTGTTACAAGATTATTGGGCATGATTTTTCTGAGGTTGGGATGAAAAAAGTAACAGGTAGAAATGATAGATTTCAATAAATTGTGTTATTCTTCCAAATATAGTTTCTCTATATATATTTGTAATTTATTTTCCTTTTGTTTGAATGGATAAGAGACAAAGAAAGGCAAAAAGAAATTTTCCATCCACTGTTTCACTCCTCAAATGACCTCAACAGCCAGGACCAGGCCACACCAAAGTCAGGAGCCTGAAATTTAATGCATGTCTCCATATGAGTGGCAAGGGCCCAACTACTTGAACCATTTATGCTGCTTCCCAGGGGCATATTACAAGGAAACTGGAATCAGGACAGAAGCCAAGACTGGAACCAGACACTCTGATAGGAAATGCAGGTTTCCCAAGCAGTATCTTAACTTATGACCAAAACATTTTTTTCTATAGCTAATGTATATTATCAAATTTTCTTTATCAAGAGATATTGAGGAAGTCTTATATTTTGTCTAACATAGAATGTGATATTAGAACAACATCTTAGATCAACACTGTGCCAAAATCCATTACATATGGCTTACTATAAGCAAAAGAAATAATTGTGTTTGTGGTATATTTTATTACGTGCTTTCAATGTACTGTCAGTTACTGATGAGATACAGGAAAGATCAGAAAAAATAATATTGATAGATATTGCACATAGTTGGCTTCCATCTGAGCCACCTGTTTTTCCTATAGAAATAGCTTTGTGAGCTGATAATGATAAAGAGGGACAGTGTTGGGATTTAAATAATATCTTTTCTGAAAAGGCAATTGTGCCAGCAAGGAAGGTTCTACTTCAAAGTCTTGTATCTACACAAGAGCTGGAAAATATTTTGAGGGGTAGCAGGAGTGGGCAAAAATCAATGAAATGTATAATTTCTGTTAGATCTTGATGAGGAACAATTTTGCCCTACTTTGTCCTTCTCTTTTAAGTTCTGAATCATGTTGGCAAATATTAAATAATAGGATATCTTGCAATATGATTGATAAGAAAAAAAGTATAACATGCATTATTCATTTAGAGTCTAAGGAAAGCAGAGTTTGTTTCTGATAACTTAATAGTTCAAAATAAAATTGGTGGCCGGCGCCACAGCTCACTAGGCTAATCCTCCACGTGCAGCATCGGCACCCTGGTTCTAGTCCCAGTTGGGGTGCCGGTTCTGTCCCAGTTGCTCCTCTTCCAGTCCAGCTCTCTGCTGTGGCCCAGGAAGGCAGTGGAGGATGGCCCAAGTGCTTGGGCCCTGCACCTGCATGGGAGACCAGGAAGCACCTTGCTCCTGACTTCAGATCGGCGCAGCACGCTGGCCGTAGCAGTCATTTGGGGGGGTGAATCAATGGAAGGAAGACCTGTCTCTCTGTCTCTCTCTCTCTCTCACTGTCTAACTCTGCCTGTCAATAAATAAATTAATTAATTAATACAATTGGTAAGTATTTTGAAGTAATCAACCCTTTCAGCAAGATGTTGTCCTTAAAAATTTCTTTAATGATTAATGGATATTTTATATAACTCCTGAAGCACAGAGTCTCAGAAGTGATTCAAAGCTCTGTCTGGTCCCATATTTTATTTTGTTGGTAATAATTTTGAATTCTGTTTCATATATTCATTTTAGAGTGGCTACATTTGCTGCTGGCCTTGAGTATCTTCATTTTTTCCTAAAAAACAAAGAAAACAACTGTATAAGTAATACATGTCAAATCCCAGTGTAATGTACACCATCACTTTGAAAATCTCTCTATAAATAAAAGATTATCAACCGCTAGCTGGTCCATTTATTTAGAGAAACACTGCAAATAAAATCTAAGTCTGGTGGAATAACTTACCTTCTCCTTGGAAGCCATGGTAGTAGGATTTGATCTATGAAATAATTGCTGTTTTCTTTCTCAAATCCTATGTATAATTAAGACATTGTTACTAAGAAAGTTAGTTCAAGTTTTGCTGCTTTTGTTAACTGAAGTCTTTATGACATCACCCTTCTAACCTTTATTTAGGACAAAGATAAAACTTAGCATAGGATAAGATTTGTATTCACTAAATATGATATTTATCTTATTATTTGTAGCAAAAAAAAAGAATTAATCATATTCAGTGCCTAGGGGAAAATGGGCACAGTTACCACTAGCGGCAGTGTTCAACTTGTAGAATTAGAGTGATCAATATCCCAGTGACTTTGTTCCATTCTACTCCACATCATCCTCTAAGCATCGTTTGGTTGGTAATCTAGCAAGAGCAATAGAGAGCCTTAAGAAGCATGAACTATATACTTGCACTAATCTGTCAGCTTTCTCACCCACCATTGCTAGATTTGTTCTTCAGCAATGGGTGGTCATGAAGCCATCTGATAATCTCATGAGATCTGTAGTCCCTGTCTCTGGAAATTATTCATCCCTTTAAAATTTTGTATATTTCAAGGCTTATGAACCCTGTAAATATTTGCAATAACTCTAAATAAGAAACTAAGTGAGCTCTTGAGGGTGAAAACTGGATCTTAATCCTTTTTGACTCCCAAACACCCAGGGAAGAACCTGACAGATATTAAGAACTAACCAGAGTTTTATCGATTGTATACATGTATAAGTGTTTTTCTCCATGGGTTCATGCCAATTACTCTGCCTAACATGTGATTTAATGTATTGATGCTATCTTTAGGGAAAAACACCAAGAATGCTGAAATAACAAGAAAAAATTTAAATTAAAAGGATTAGTTAAGCATTCATGATTTGCATTGCCTATTTTCATTCCAGGTCCGAACATCCTCATTCTCAACTAATCTCCACATTTCCACAAATGCAGAATAGAGATTTCAGGTTATAGTAAAAAGTTACATGAAATATCAATAGTTTACAAAACAAATATTTTTCTCCCAGCAATGTTAGTTTGAGAAAAAGTATAGTTTATATAGGACAGAGTTAGCTACAAAGATTGTAGGCAACTGTCCCTAATGCCAAGACCAAGTAAGACATTAACATTTAACATTTAAACATTTAACATTTAAAAAGACAAAGAGAATAACACAACTACAATTTTCTCTCAAGGAGAATGTGAACACAGGCATATATTACAATAACGTAATCCAAAAGGGCTCTACTCACCGTTGCTGGCTTTAAAGATAGAAGAAGAGGACCATGAGCCAAGGGGAATATGTGAAATATCTAGAAGCTGGAAAAAAATAAGAAATGGATTCTCTCCTGGGGAGTCCAAAAGGTAACTCAGCCCTCCCAAGACCTCAATTATAGCTGAGTGAAATTTGTGTCGAACTTCTATCCCATAGAATTATGAGATACACTTATGCTGTTTCAAGATAAATTTGTGATAATTTTTATGGCACCAAATAGAAAAGGAATATCTCCACACAAATATACATATGTCCTCAAAAAGCGTGATAATTTCATATCCATATAAAACCATATTTGTCAGCCTCAGTGCCATTGACATGTGCAGTGTAGGAGGTTTAGAAGCAACCATGACCTCTACGCATTAAATACCAATAACCTTCTTCAACTGCAACACTGAAATGTCTGCTGGGATAAAATTCATGCCAAATTGGGAAACACTGATTTGGTAGAGAACAAAGGCTTCAATTCTCTAATACATGGCAGGTTGTGATAAACTCTGTGATAGTATGGAACTTATCTATGTTATTTACTTACCCTGAGTGACTAGAACAGGGGAAGGCATGCAATTGGGGCCAAAACACATATTTAATAAATAATAGAATGAATGAGTAAAATTTCTTAAGAGTAAAAGCCCTCCAATGACCAAATAAAATTTCCTTTAGATTTATTTTCTCTTTCAATAATAGTTTGAGAAATTTTTCCTTTTAAAATTAGTTAATACTGGTGTTATAAGTATGATACTATGACATAGGAATTAATTTACCCTCAAATGATATCAAACTCTGATATTATAAAGTATATAAAGTATATGAAGTGATGAAGTATCTTCCTCTCTTTAAGCTCAATTTTGTTCTTTCAGAAATAAAAAATAATGTTCATTTTCTGGTTTGCAGTAAAAAGTTTAAATATAATTAAATACACAGTCATTTCTCAGAGTGAATGATTCAGAGTAGCTATTCAATAAATGTATGTTTTTCTTTTTCCAAAGATCTAATAATGTACAGATAGTTCCTTTGCTCTTTCTGTCTCTGAATTAGGATATAATTGATATTGCTCTCATTAATTTCAAGTGACTTTTATTTAAGACTATAGACAATAAAGTGAATATGTAAAATATTAGCAAAATTAATTATCCTCCCTTACTGTGGAATATTCTACATAAAAAGATATAATACATTTATGGCAATATTAATGTTTTGAGCTAGAATAATAGGAACTAATTCTACATTTTGAAAATGAGGTATTACCTAAAATTTAAGACAAGATATTGTGCATTCATTTTGCCTATTTGATCTCAAGGCCATTCTTTACTCCTCTCTTGCTGCACTCTGAATCACACCTTTGAACATATTCTCCACCTACTATGTTTTCTGGTTTCTGGCAATATTCACCCAGCGAGAGACAACCGTGAGAAAGACATTGCTGGTGGGGGGCAGGGAGAAGTCAGGCCACGTTCCCTCTTATGCTGCCATAAGCAGTGTCTCCTGCAAGAGTTTTCTCCTCCTTGACACCGGTGTCCTCTGGAGAGCCCATTTTCCCACGGGCACACCTCACACTGAGAAGCCCACACCAGGGATCCAGCTGTTGAGGAGACACCCTGATCTCCTGGCTCTGGTAATGATACCTGCTTGCAGGAATATCAGTGGCTTCTTGTTAACAGATGTCTGACTTGCCTCTCCATCATCTGCTTTGACCCTTGCGTCTCCTATCACATGTGTAAGCAGTTCCTGAGTTAGACCCCTTTTATTTGAAACACTTAAATTGTTTTTTTCTAAGTAGCTATTGATGGATACAGACATTTTCCATAAACTTTCAAATATTTCCTACTTGTTAATATCCTCCAGAAGCATGTTTCTCAGCTTTATTCTCTACTATATAGGTAACTATTTTATAAAGTGATAATTACATCTTTACATTCTGAGAAAAATAACTCTCATTCCTGAGCATAAAAAGCAAACGTAAAAGCAAATTTTAAAATTAATTACACATATGTTGGGATCTCATATTTACTAAACTAATTATTACAAAGCAAGATAAATTAGGGGGAAAAGCAAAGAGTATGCATAATTATTAAATGCTGGCATTTATGTGAGCCTTAGGCTTCTGTTTATTAGCTTTTTGGGTGCAATTATCATTAACATTTCTGTTGCATCCTTAATGAATTCTAGAACCAAAAATACACAATGACATGGATGGAAAAAGCAGTCTTTCCCCATCTTCACAGACTGCAACTTTAAGAAAAATAACCTACAGTGAGGTTGCAGAGCTCTGGTTGTATATTTTTCCCTGGGAGCTATGAACTGTCCAGCAAGATTCTGAGCCTTGATTTTTACAGCTGCACCTGTGCCTTGTGGGGAAAGTAGTAAAGAGTAATCAGGGAACCTTCTCCAGTAAACCAGGCAGCTGAGTTTCAACACTAACTTTAATACAACTTAGGTATATTATGTAATCATTTACCTTTGTGCCAAGCATAGTTATAGAAGTTAGGAACCAAAGGTTAATAAATAAGAATTAGGCTGTCTCCTCTAGGAACATGTAGCATAGGGAGAGAGGAAGTTACAACTCAGAGGAAAACAAGTGCACTAAAGTCAGATTGTGGCTGGAATAGATGTATGTGCAGAGTACATAAGAAGCAGTCATCTTTAGAGGTCACAGCAACTTCTGGAGTGGAAGGTAGAGGGGCTTTAAGTTTAATTACAAGGCAAGGAGAGATGGTTTTCTACAATAAACTGCTTGAAAGCTAGTCTGGGTATACATAATGCACCATTAAGAGCTGAACGAGAAGCTGCTTCAAGTCTCAGCAAGAGCAAAAGCAGCAGTTAGAAGTGTGATGCCCCATAGTCTAGTTCTGTAAAAGTGGAATGAGGGTTGGGGGTAGAGGTGGGTGGGAAGCTCTTCAGATTGGAGGAATGGTTTGATCAGAGACATCCTTTAGAAGTAGTGCTGACAAAGGGATGCTTAAATGTGCAGCTCCTGAGAGATCAAGATGCTGTTGGAGGTTGTTTGAGCATGTGAGAAGCAATGGGACTCTTGGGGAGCAGCTGGAAGAGGCTGTAATTGCTGGGCTAGACTGCTGACTGGAGCCATTCATTGCAGAGAGGAACAGCTGCAGAGAGCTTAAGCAGGGAACCCTGGGGAGTCACGACTGGGAACTTCCCCAGATTACAAAGCTGCCAGCAGAAGCAGCAGATAGGAGTGTCATCATACAGAAATATTCAACTTATGGATCTAGCTCCACCATCTCAGTAGTTGGAAAAGGAGGAAACATAACATTACATATAAAGAGGATTGAGGAAAGACTGACAAGATCATCAAAGTAGATTTCAGATTTTTAGGTAACAACTTTGCTCAAATTCTGACCTTAGCATCCATGACTGATGTATCTATCACTTTTTGACTGTTGTTTGTTTATTGAGATATAATTTCACCCTGAAAATTATCTACCAGATTGGCCAAAACAATAAGTCTTGACTTTCAACTGGGGGGGGCGGTTCTTAAATCAAAAATTCTTTGAAAGGATATGCAATATTCAGTGCTTTTGATATTTTCCTTCAGGGAAGAGTGCCTTTGGTTTTCATCTTGTTCTCAAACCTCCTGACACTAAGACAGGTTCATACCTTTTGCATTAAGACAGAAAAGGTCAACCAATAGAGAATTTGATAACATCTGTCAAAGGCTTATTGACAAAAGGCACAATTGTTTAACTGATGAATCTCCATAATCATCATATCAAGGCATTAACTGTGAGGCTATCCTCTTCAAATATTTTGTAGAATAACAAATCTCAGTATGTAAGTGATTCAATCTGTATCTTTTTGGATCAGCTTGAGATGGAAGCAGCATAATACAAATTTTTACTTGGGTTATATAAAATTATAGTTTAAGAATTTGAGAAAGAAAATCAAGCTGCAGAACTATTATGTTAGTTCAAATTTGTAAAAGGCTCTGAGAACTTTGGTAGGTGTTGTAGAAAAGGAAAGAATATAGAAGTAGAGACTTTTTTTTTTTTTTTTTTTTGACAGGCAGAGTGGACAGTGAGAGAGACAGAGAGAGAAAGGTCTTCCTTTGCCGTTGGTTCACCCTCCAATGGCCGCCGCTGCAGCCGGCGCACCGTGCTGATCCGATGGCAGGAGCCAGGATCCAGGTGCTTTTCCTGGTCTCCCATGGGGTGCAGGGCCCAAGCACCTGGGCCATCCTCCACTGCACTCCCTGGCCATAGCAGAGAGCTGGCCTGGAAGAGGGGCAACCGGGACAGAATCCTGCGCCCCGACCGGGACTAGAACCCAGTGTGCCAGCGCCGCAAGGTGGAGGATTAGCCTATTGAGCCACGGCGCCGGCCCGAAGTAGAGACATTTTAAGTGTCAGTGTGAGTACTGTAATATATAACTTACATATTGTAATATGTTTTCTTTGTTGAAATCTTATAATGGTGCCAAACTCACTCCATCTAGAAAAATTTCCTGTGGATTAAGTCACATGGGAACCAGTTGTCCTGGTTTAATAGACACTTCAGTGTTGTAGGTTTAATCAATAAACTTGATCTTCAAACTTTGCCTGTTATACAATCTGTTCTGAGCAAACAATGGAATGAAGTAAAGTGAATCAAGCCTTGAGTATATTAGTGAATTGGGGTTTGAGTGACCAAGAACAAAATGTCAGGAAGACAGCAAAGGAGAAGCTCAATTTTTAGGTTCCACATACTCTGTACTTTTAGGTGCAATGTAACATATTTTCCTTTAAAATGAACATTTTAAACAGAAGAGCTGTGTGCGTTTTTCAAAGTAACATAAATTCACCTTTGAAGCTTCTGACCCACTAAAGATTCCTGGAAATACTTAGTCTAAGTCTGCTCTGGACAAATGAAAAATTGCTCTCAAAGGTCTTTATTTACCTAATGAATATGCCTTGCAGAGCTTTCAAACAATTATTTGAAGGCAGAAAAAATCTCAAGGCCCATCCATCTCTCATGGA